TCCTGTTCTCTCCCCCCCCCCCCCCCTCCAATGGGCGGTCTGTCTTCCCACAAATAACTAGGTAAATAAATGAAATAGCATAACATAAACATGGCAATAAAACGTATGACAGAACATAACTCGCTCGCTAGCTACACCGTGATGCTGAGAGAACCCCCACCCATGACCTTTGGGGTCCGTCATCTCCTATCTAACTGGCTAGATACTTGTAATAACAAAAGAAAAAAAAAGTATGGAAATGAAACATTTGACCTAGCTTAGCTACCTCTCTAACCCATCCACGGTGTGGAAAGAGAGACCACCCAAGGCCCTACCAAGGCAAAAAGGAGGCGAAAGCCACAGGACAGCCAGTGGCGCCCCTAGTGGGGGCCCCCTCTAACATCCGAAAAGTCTAATGAACATCGCTAACTTGCACAGAGCAAACAACAACCGTGGGATGGGAAAATGCACATAAAACCTGAGATAGGAGCCAGGATTCTATCCGGTGGGGACTTCAGGTCTCACTCCTGGCATGGGAAGGGCCGGGAACATTCCTCTGGCTGGCTCGGTTGCGGGATCTCCCTCTCCTGGCCGGTCCCGTCGGGAAGCCGACCGTGGGCGGGCGGTCATCTGAGAAGTCCAGCCAATTCGGGATCGGTATCACCTCCGCTTCCAGGAAGGCAAACAGGTCTGGCAGCTGCACAGGGCGATGCAGAGAGAATGACGATTCTCCCCTCCTCACGATGAGGTGAAATGGGTGGCCCCATCTATAGGCGGCATCAGCAGAGCGAATGACTTCCAGCAAAGGCCTCATAGATCTGCACATGCGGAGGGTATGTCTAGAGAGATCAGGCATAATTTGAACCTGTGCACCATCAAAATCTAGAGGCCCCTTATGCCAGGCTTGCCTCAGGATCTCTTCCTTGATTGAATAAAAGTGCACCCGGCATAACACATCTCGTGGTGGAAGGTTGGTGTGAGTTGTAGCGCGGGCGCCCATGACGCAATGTACCCGGTCCAGTTCCATCTCAGATGCCGGGGGCTTGTCCAGGTATTGGTTGAGAATCGCTATGACCGTGGAGCGAAGGTCCCGTCCCATGGTGGCTTCAGGGATGCCCCTCAGGCGCAAGTTGTTACGTCTGTTGCGGTTCTCGCCATCATCTAGGCGGAGAAATGCCGTGGTCATCTGGGTGCCTATGGCAGACTGGGCCGATTCCAGGGCCACTACTCGTTAGTAACTTTTTTTAAAGTATAAAAAGTCCGGCCGGCACAAGCAGCTCAGGAACAGTTTAAAAAACTTGTGTGCAAAACAAGCATCTACCCTATTTGACGCGTTTCGTCATGTGACTTTTTCAACAAGAAGGTATATATACTATTTACCTCATCACTTCACATCTACCTTCTTTTTAAAAAACTTTTTATACTGCCTGTGTAAGTTACTACTTTTAAAAAATTTGTTTTTCACAGTTCCTTTGATACAATTGAGTTATTTAGTTCTTCCTTTTTCCAAGATTACATGCAGGATTTCTTTTGATTTATTTATTATTGGGTATAGGCTAAATCATATTCACATAATTCTATACAACCCACACCTCTAGCGCTTTGATATATATTTTTTTGATCCTCTATATGTTTGTTATGTATTCCTATTTACACAGGATATTCAAAAATAACTTTTAAAAAAAGTATTACCTTTTAGATGTTTTTTTTAAAACAGGCAAGATTGCTGATTCTAGGTTTTTCTTAGCCCTTTCACAGTGGTCTGTTCTAATAGAAAGACTTTGGACTGAAATTTGAGAATTGTGTTTTCGCTAACTTGCACAGAGCAAACAACAACCGTGGGATGGGAAAATGCACATAAAACCTGAGATAGGAGCCAGGATTCCATCCGGTGGGGACTTCAGGTCTCACTCCTGGCATGGGAAGGGCCGGGAACATTCCTCTGGCTGGCTCGGTTGCGGGATCTCCCTCTCCTGGCCGGTCCCGTCGGGAAGCCGACCGTGGGCGGGCGGTCATCAGAGAAGTCCAGCCAATTCGGGATCGGTATCACCTCCGCTTCCAGGAAGGCAAACAGGTCTGGCAGCTGTGCAGGGCGATGCAGAGAGAATGACGATTCTCCCCTCCTCACGATGAGGTGAAATGGGTGGCCCCATCTATAGGCGGCATCAGCAGAGCGAATGACTTCCAGCAAAGGCCTCATAGATCTGCACATGCGGAGGGTATGTCTAGAGAGGTCAGGCATAATTTGAACCTGTGCACCATCAAAATCTAGAGGCCCCTTATGCCATGCTTGCCTCAGGATCTCTTCCTTGATTGAATAAAAGTGCACCCGGCATAACACATCTCGTGGTGGAAGGTTGGTGTGAGTTGTAGCGCGGGCGCCCATGACGCAATGTACCCGGTCCAGTTCCATCTCAGATGCCGGGGGCTTGTCCAGGTATTGGTTGAGAATCGCTATGACCGTGGAGCGAAGGTCCCGTCCCATGGTGGCTTCAGGGATGCCCCTCAGGCGCAAGTTGTTACGTCTGTTGCGGTTCTCGCCATCATCTAGGCGGAGAAATGCCGTGGTCATCTGGGTGCCTATGGCAGACTGGGCCGATTCCAGGGCCACTACTCGCTGAGTGAGGGCTGTGGTAGATTCCTCCACTGTAGCTACCCGACCATCTAGGCATGTCACTCTCTGCCCAATCTCCTGCACCTCCTGCCTGAGGGCCGCCACGATCCTTGGGGCCATGTCCTCCAGGTCGCCTTTCATGGTGAGGCGTGGGAGAATCTCTCTCCAGTCTCCCCCCTCGCTTACCTCGGTCCCAGAACGGGCACCCGATGTAGCCATAAAGAGTTCCGGCGAGGGGATCGGTGATGGGTGCCGATCGCGTGCCGAATCCTCCACATCGAGGGGTAGCGCTGTAACTTTACCCCGGGCCTTGGAGGGAGTGGGGCCTGCAGTTGCTGAGCGGGTAGATGCCATGTGTTGCGTGTCCCCAGGTCGGCTGGAGGTGGCCGCGGGGGCGAAGAAATCCGCCAATTCAGACTGTCGGGAGCTCCGGAGACACACCTGACTCCCCTGCACCTGACACATCCAAAAAGAGGTACTGTTTTATCAGCTAGAGATTAGGCCGGTGTCGGGAGATGCAGAGCTCGAGGGAGACACGTCTTCACGTCTCCATTGCCAGGCCACGCCCCCAAGATTTTAGCTTTTGCGTGCCGTGCGTTCTTCCACACATAAAACTGCACAGGATACGCAAACGCTATATGTGAACGAAGGCTAATAATGCATTCCAGCAACTTAACTAATAACAAAAAGGTAGCTTATTAGTGCATCACTGGGCTGACACTGTTCTTCCTTCTGGAGGGTGGCTATTTTTATTCCCCTTGGTTCCTGTGTGTTTTGTAAAGTAGTCACAACTCCAAGTTCACACCTGTGATGGACTACAATCGCAATACACACTAGTAAACTAAACATGAGTTTAAAGTCTATCACTATAAGTAGCGGTGGCTACTTTACAACACACACGGGAACCATGGGGAACAATAGGTTAACTTTAGTGTCACTTTAAAATAAGTTTAATTAAGAAACCATTATTCGTTCCTTAGCATTCTAAAACAATGTGTTACATTCTTTAAAACTCACCTTTACTTTTCCAGTGTCTCTCTGTTGCATATCCCAGGTGCCCTGCACACTTCCTGTTAAATTCTGCCATCAGGGCTTTGTAAGGGTTGCGGATTAGTAAAATGGAGGAATCATACATTTCAATCTCTCTTTTGCCACTTTCATGTGTTTTGACACATATGGTTCGGCCGCTCCTCCAGTGATCTTTTTCTCCTTTAAAACCTGAGGGACACAAAAGCAGCTAGTTATTTCATCCAAGTATCTGTAGTGTTAGGTTATAAAACACAACTCAAAATGTCTATTTTAAGTCAACTGACTATGTCTTGAGTTAGCTCACCTTTGTTGTACAAGGTTCCATCAAAGTAGTAACTTCCAGTGTAGAATCCAGTAGCATGCTCTATCAGGTGTCTCACCCATGTGTTTCCAGCTCCAGGAAAACTTGACAAGGCAACAAAGACTTTGGACTTTGTAGGTAGGAAATTTCTAGTTGTACATCTTGTATCTTAAAGAGAAAAATATGCAATATAAATTACCATGTACACTGTAGGGTATGTATGTGTGAGTCAGTTTGCAATGGCCTTCATATTGAGACATGAAGAAAATATGAATATAAGCATACAACAATGTGGCTAACTGAAATTATGAATTGCCAGTTGAGTTGAAAGCTACCATGCACAAGAATGTAATACTGTAGTTTAAAGTATTTAGTATTTAGCCATGAAACAAGCAAGTAGGCATTGTCATTTATACAATAAATTGACATCATAGAGTTGCATTGAGATGCAATCATGCAAAGCAAAAGTAATATGCTAATGAAATAGGAATATATAGGCATATCACTCTCTCTGTGTGCCAGTATACTCTTTTGTGATCACAGTCCATTCAGGGCAAAGTAAAATGTTTACAGAGTACCATGCATTGTATGGAACTTTTTCTTTCCTTTCACTTGCTCACCACCAATACGGTTGCCTGCAAGAGTTAAGAGGGGAGTGTACTCATTCCAGTTATGGGAGGAAGGGGCATGAGGCTTTTTTTCCTGCCTCCCTCAATGGAGGCCTCAGTGTTTGAGTGGCCAATTACCAGGCTTGAGTCCTGTTACTTGGGGCTGGAGAGGGAGGGTAAGTCCTTAGCCATGTTAATAAAGGAAATTACACAGCAATGTTCTGGGGAGCTCTGAAAGGCAAAATACAGTGGAGTAGTACACAGAAGGTAAATATAGGCTCCTTGCTACAGCTGCTACTCAGTAAACCTGTTACTTTACCTACTATGGACAAAGTACATTCTTAACGATATGTCCACCTAAAGGTAGCATACAAGTTCAAGGGTATATATTCAGGTTGAGAAACCCCATGGTTTCTTATATTGCTTTGGAACTCCTAAACTAAATTAAAAGCCTCACACACATTGCAATTCAGAAGAGATCTCTTATACTGCATGTGTAATTTTTTTAATTTTTTATATTACCAATGACACATCAGGAGAGTAAAACACCACTAGCTTTACTTTATAACAACAACAACAACAACAATAGTGGGGTAATGTTCAGGAAGGAAGCAGAGCTTGCTATAATAACAGGCAGCTTTTGCTGTTGGAACGAGAGCCAAAGGCCAGCAGAGAATTAAACAGACCAATGACCACCAAAATATATATAATGTTTTTGGGTAGGCTTACCCTTTAAACAACTCATAAACCATTACTACTTCATGTAATGACTGGTCTCCTTTAGGGTTTAGTATATTTAACATGTATATCTTTAGGTCAAGTTTGCAGTTATTAGTTGTTTTCATTTATGTCTTAGATCTGATTAGAATTGGCTTTAGACAGGCACAGAAATCACAACAAGAACATGTTATGTCTATGCTGTCTGTCCAGTTTATTTCTCAGCACATTTATAGCCTGCGTAGAAAATGATATTCTGATGAAAATTCAAAGGATGTATTCCTTCATTAGAATCATCAATACATCATTTTTATGATGCAGCATGTTAGAATAACAAGAGGAGACCTGTGACCCATTCAGACTGTTTATTAGAGAAAGCATTCTTTCTCTCAGCTGGACTGGGAATCAAGCTACAGCTCACCTCAGTGCATAAGCTGATACAAAGAACAAGCAGCTATGCCTAAGGATGCATGAATTATTGAAAAAGATTTACTTGGTGGCTCTGACTTGTGTCAGACTATGGCTATTTCATCTGTGAAAAACATGGAGGTGAAAATGTGTCACCAAGTTATTATTTAACAAATCAATATCCTTGATGCCAGGACAAATGTGAGGTCTTTGATCCAGATGCATACGTGAGAGCTTAATATAAGCTACTGCATACATTGCTAAAGTGAATCTAGTCTACTGACATTACATTTGCATATAACTGCATTTGTGTAGACAGAAGTCGCCTGAGGTTAGACCCTGTTAATAAACTTTACTCACGTCACTGGGAAATAGTAATTGCTCTTAATTGCACAGAAGACATTATTCAGAATCTATAGATAGTTCAAAAAATGTCTGCTCTTATCACTTGTTATTCAAAATGAAGACTTGACCATATATTTGAAGGATGGACCATTTCCATTAAAGTTGCCTGTATATGTTTTGTAACAATTCTGAACAAAAGGGGCAGTTTACACCAATCCCAAGTTTCCTATGTGAACATTATCCAGCTGGCTACCATCTAGGGTGAATAGATAATCCTGTTATTTGACAACTACATTTATTGACACATGTATGTAGGCAACATGAACAATTTTTAACCTTGTTCTTGAACAATTAAAATAGGTTCAGCAACAATAACAAACAACTTCACTAATATATGACTGCAAAACATTGGGCTGTCTTAAATCATGAAAAGAGCAAGTCACAACAGAGCCAAAACAGTGGTCTCTGTAGCCACTGAATATAAGAACAAGGGATCTGGGGTCACTGGGAGTTATAGCAGGGTCACTGGGAGTTGCAGGGGGGCATTCCGAGTCAGCATAGGGGATTGGGGTCATTTAGAGTCATAGTGGAGTCACTTAGATCATTGTTAGTCAGAGCAGGGTGTCTGGGGGTGGCTGAGAGTCAGACATTGGTCTCTGGGGGATGGGG